TCATCTGTTTATCCCATCTTTCCTTTGTCCATCCATTCACCTCATATTTCATCTGTTCACCCATTCCTTTCATCTTTCATTTTTTCATCCATTAATCCCATCTTCCATTTCTTCATCCGTTCATACATCTTTTATTTGTTCATCCATTCAATTCATATTTCATTTGCTCATCCATTCATCCAATCTTTCATTTATTTATCCCATTCTTTGTTTACATACACTAACCTCCATAAACTGCACAGTGACTTTAAAATCAGGCTGTGGCTCATTTCTCTGTTTGGCTTCCTCTTTCCGCCTATCAATGGCACTAAATAGATGTCCAACGGCTCTAGGAATGATGCCTTCTTCATCAGGGTTAATATTAACATCAAATCCAGTACCCATAGTATAGGTCTTGCCAGATCCAGTCTACAATGTAGGAATGGTTAGCACACTATCAAAACATGGAGTCTGTCATTATAAATATATTGTTGTTAGTTGTGTTGTTGGGCAAAATCTTAAATRCAATACTGCTCGAAATGTGTGTTCACACTGCYGGCAATACACACRYTTTCATCCGTGCAGAGAAAATGAATYAGATAAACAAAAATGCATGTCATTTGGTGAGCCAGTAAGTTACAGATTTTTATCATAYAKGAAGTACTACTTTTTAAAACTTTGTATTTTTTCTTTCCTACAAAGATTACACCCCAAACATGCAGTCCCTCTAAAGATAACATATAATTTTTATCCTTAACAATGCCTGTCTCTCTGAACACTAATACAAAATACAATTATTGATCTGATGAGGGTTGTACAACAAACCCAAAACTACCTGATGGAGAGCAGCACACTATTTCTATTGGTGTGAAATATGGATTAATGATGGTTTAGTATGATGTCTGTATACAGTTCTTAATCAAATGACATCTTTACTTAAAGCAGTTGACGATTGAATCATTTTTTACTAGAAAAATCAAGTACAGTAAATCAGACACCATTAAAAATAGAGGACTTTTGCTAGTCAAGCACTACTTCTTTAGCCATCAGAAACTAAATATTCTGTCATAGCTTGATCTACATACAACCTGTTAACTCACCATGGAGTTGAAAAAGCAAAATTGCATAAGTGTATAGACAAATGAAACAAGCTCATTCCAKATATCTGCCAAAAACATTGTTCATCTGTCATTGCTTGTTTTCYTAAAGCCATCAGCAAGCAAAGCCAAACTAGCTAAGCTTTTTGGCAAATTCTCAGTATAAATATCAATCCTACTTTAAAATTTCATGAATGAGATAAAATACTGAGCTATCAACCATTGTTGTCTGGTTTGCTGTCAAAAACATGGCTCATCTAATATTATTATGTAGTTTTAGATGCATCAGGTGGCAAAGCCAAGCCAACTTAATAAGCCTGTTGGAAATTACCCAGTATCAACTATCCATCAAACATTCATGAAGAAAACTGAGTTATAAACCACTGATGTCTGGCTTGCTATGACTAGAAATTATAGATATTGTTTTATAGTTTATGTTGAACTTTTCTGTGGATAAACATTGTTTATAAATTTAAAGCAATAGCACATGTACAATAGTTAATTCATAAGCAYTCAGCAAAGTAAAGTTTATAATATTACGACCAAATTCATATTCTATAGGTTATTAATTATGCAAACTTGGYTTGCGATGTAAGACAACTGTGACTACATCACTGTATATAAACATTATTGTACAAGAAACAACAGAACATTAAATTTATTGACTAAAATAACAAACCACATTTATCTATAGCTGATATGATACAATCAAATAAAATGCAAAAAGTGTTGTTTACTTATTAATAAAGACATCAAGCTTTAATAATGCTAGAGAGCTGTATAAATATTCATGTATTGTATTAAACTGAAATATTAGAATTTTAATGTTTAGATACAAGCCAATAACTACAACAACATTGTGCAATGCAGTCTTTTTTTGTATTTATACAAAAGTGTATAATTCACATATGTCAAGGTCAATATAAGCACTGAGMGTCAGTCATAAAGCCTTAGGACCAATCCTAAGAGGGATTAGAAAACTAAAATCTCAACAATAAAAGCATCCTTAGACTTAATGACGTAGCTTATGCTAATTTTCTATACAGGACCACAAACAGTAACAAATATTCTATGGACAATATCCTGTGAAGTAGGAAAATAGAAAATCATTTGTACAAAAATATCTTTGTTGTATGCTGCAAGAGGTTTATTTTTTCTCAAAGTATAGGATTGTTTTAATTCTGTAGATTTAGCAGGTCAAGAATATYTTGAACACATTGAAGAACTTGAATTAAAATTGTTGAGGAGCTGGTTTGACCCAGCTATCGTAGAAGCCACATTTACATCAGCGCTAATAACTCTAACCTCAAAAGAGACTGGGTCAASTTACAGCTTGCCCACATAATATCGTCAATGTATGTGATGTCATAGGCACGTAGGYGGCATCAAAAACACACAACTTACATACAATTACTAAAATGCACAAAGTTAAGTTTTAAGCTTTTTTACATGGAGATTGCAAACTGTAATTATATTCCTACAACACAGTACATTATGTTGTTGAATATTTATTAATTATTGATGACTACCAACAGCAAAACTTTTATTATATCTTTGTATTTTGTAGACATATCTCCATGTRCAGTACATGGAGAGTCACTGTAAYAAAAMCAAGGCAAACAACTGTCTTGTATTAGMAMCATTTGTACATTTGCAAAAAACTATGACATTCTCTCAAGACACCTCAAGAGCCAAGAAATGTTTTGAAGATCATATAGTTCMATAAATAATTAACTAGCATAGTGTAGTCATTGCAGGAATTATTATTATTTATAAGTTAAAATTGATTGAGCARTATAATTACACTAGCTGTGAAAGCATTTTTAACCATGAAATATGTACTAAACTGCTTTAGTTTGAATTCATGTCATTATTAAGTCATAGAGAGTAGCATAGAGGTATAGCTTGTGTGAATTTATTCAAAATGTACTGTAGATTTATCAAATTAGACAAAAAGGATTCAGTGGTTATCTATGTTGTTTCTCATTTATATGAATCTCAGTTTTGATAACCTAAGTAATCATTTATCAATTAAAAGTAATTTGATATCTAAATCTCTGGCACTGACGCAAATGCATGATAATATTAGTTGAGATAAAGATCTTGATGAGATACATTTCTTTATGAATAAAATCATATAAATTTGATATAGCAATCTTGTGTTTTGATATCCAAAGAGGTCAGCAATTCCAATGTCTGCAACTATATGTTTATTCTTGTCCTTCCATGACAAAAAAGACTAGTTTTTGCAGGTGAACACTATCAAACTTATGCAGACATTAAATACTTGGRAAATCTCCACGAAACGTATACAAAACTATACAAAAGTTTCATATACRTTTTCACAAAATTCTGATGTAATGATTTCCTTGGAAGCATTTTTTAAGAAATTTTTAAGACAATTATAAGCTAAAAWAGCCAGCCAAACATTTGAATTATCCATCTCTTTCTTGTCTGACTCTAGAAGAATATTATACACACAGCCATAAACTAGACAYGTCTTTAATATTAAAGCGATTTAAACGTATTATATTCACACACAGATGGGCATAWTTCCAGCTCTAAACAATACAAGCTTGGAATATACACTTAACTTGAAGACAGATATGCAATCCTATTGTTATGACATAGGATACTCCATTCAACTCGCTAGACTCACAAGTATTARATGGCATGACATAATTGTACACAGATGTAAAGTTAACAAAGCATATCTGACAGATATATATGGTATAAAATGAATATCATGTTGAAAAACAGATTGACACTATTGACAAAAGATTAAGATAGCAAAATATTGTTTTCATATTGGATACCTGAATGTTCAAATACTCAGTCGTATTAACAATTTGGTTTTTGTACTTATTTCAAAAGAATGTTATTCTGCAGCAAGTATTAAGAGATGAAGACATTTTCAGCCTTTTTARCAATAAAARATGAGGYCTGTCATAAGASKTATGAMCGTGGATATCCAACCAATTGTCTAGTTGTATGAGCCRAATATAATGCAATAATCCATTGAAAGTTTTTGGCAAACATTCAGCCAAATCAATATGACTTGTCTGTCAAAATGAATTATTCTAACACTAACATGATAATTATWGCAAAGAAATGAAATAAAAAATTATGCAACTATAAATTAACGCAAATCGAATACAATTATTATAACATAAGATTAAAATTAGTAAGAATATTCAATTTTAAAAAAAGTCTACATGTATTGTATTTGATAATATTTTTTTCAGAATGATCGACAATATGATTCCACAGCAAAAAGTGTATGTAAGGTTTTGCAAGAATAATTTTTTTAACCCCAAAAAAACTTTTAAATCATGCAAATCAATAAATTGAGCTAAATTTATTTCCTTAGACTTTTTAAGTGGCTTGTGGTCGGTTACCAAGGGAGATGTCAATTATTCCTTGATAAATTTCCAATAAATAACGTTTAAACACGGTTATACATAYACCTATCATTTTAAACCATATATGAACTGTCACTGTTTAAAAATATAACATTYTATACTGCAAGTACATTGTACTTATGTCATAAAATAACTGATGTGGAAAATTTTTGAAGAGGATRGAATTCTTGAGGTCAATAATTTCTAATCGAAACAAAACATATAAACATTGTTTTTAATTCAATCCAACAGGTTCAAATTYGCARGCAAGARTAATTGTTCTATGTGCCGGTGGCTTAAATGTTTTAAAGTCGTTCCGTGGCACTATTTAGCAAATGGTATTAGACTGACATCATTAAAGATTTACTACTGCAACCTCGTGTTTGAAAAAAAAATAGAAATGTTAGACTTACCTGTCCGTATGCTAGTACAGTGGCATTATATCCATCAAGACAACTGCAGGAAAAAAATACCAAAAAAATGAGAAAAAATTAAAATAAAATGGGACTATATGAGGAATGAATATGACGTTGAATGTTGCATTCAATTAAATGATCACACCGGATTGAGTGTTTTTATTTTTTTGTTAAGCTATAAAGATCCATGAGGGAAAACGAAGAAAGAATGATTTTTGTATATAAAAGTAAATATGAGAAAAGAAAAAAAAAGAAGCGTTCTTTGGACTCCCTCGCAGAGCGATGGCGTCGTCGGTTTTGACACTTGAGGTTGAGTTCCACTACATACACTCACTTCGTCGATAAATAATTTTTAATGTAACTTACCCATCTACYAGTTCCTTAACACAGTTATTATAGATTTGTTCTTGCTTTGACTTGAATTCAAAAACGTAGTCAAAGGTAAAAGCCTTGTCTTTGCCGAGAATGACTTGTGGATGGCCAGGAGTAACAGTGGTACAAACTCGACACATTTCAATCTGTTCAGCAGCACTTTGAGGGCGAATTCTACAAGATATGTAGACGAAAATGAGTTTTAAATATAGCGTTATTTCAATAAAGAAATATTGTAGGTGATGGAGTACGAATTGGTGTACAAAAATAATAACTTTTGACAGTAAAAAAAGACATAACTTCACAAGTAGTCTTCGAACGGTTGACTTGACTTGACAATCAACATTACCTTAGCGCGACCCTCACTGAAGAGTCATCTCCTTTGCTATTTGAAGACATTTCGAAGCAAGCTTTAAATTYCCCGTAGTCGTATTTCTAGTCAGCTAAGTGTGTAACGATCACGACGAGTACAAGCACAAAGATTACGACGTTCAGTCATCGCGAGAACATCGCTTGTAAAAACCAAATTCTCAAAATTCGATGTTGTTTTGAAGTGATGTCAGTCGTGCAAAATGGCGTTTACGACTTGTACATGTTTTCCAATTAAAGAAGGATGCTGTTTTTCTACCTAACTCCACTGGGTATCATGATGGAGATCAGAAACAGTCCATGGAAAAGTGTGAATCATTTTGAATACTAATYACGTTAAAATCCAACATGGCCGCCAGGCTTGACGTCATGTTGRGGAAAATGACAAATATGGTAGTGGATGAGTGAATCAACCAATCAGAAKGCGAGGTGATTTGCCTAGAAAAAGTGGGAAATTACCAGAGCGAAGCTGAGAAAACAAAACAAAATGTCCTTAGTTACAGACCACATTTRCRRSTCGTTTTCTCTWCTGTTGACGGCGTGTCAACTGTATTCTTCGAGGTGACAAGACGTGAGAGATACAGCTTTGAAGATGTAATCGTTTTTCCCGATTATTCGGGCAAATTCTTGCCGCAAAAATCCAGCTATTCGAATAAGAAATGAAATGAAATATTTTGACTTTTCTTCTACCAGTACTGAAAATACGTCCTTGAAAAAGAACCGGATTGATTTCAAAAYTATTCCGCTAAATTACAAAGCATTTTGTAGTGATCAGTTCGGTCGTTTATCGTACGGCATTGAGCGAATAGAGTGGTACAGTCACCTTTTTTTCAACAAAACGATATAGTCTTATATTTACATCAACAGACTATCAAAGACCAGCGAATCTACTTTATTCGACCGCAAAATCTTCAGTAAACCTATCGTTAACCGCGCGAACATCGCGGTTCAAATCTATCGAAAAGGGACTTCAGAAAGCCAAGTTCAACGCCCAGGGAAGACAGATTTCATAAAAATTTAACAATTTCATGTCGAGATATTGCTGTTTTGTTGAATAATTTAGTAAACAGACAAAGGGATGATGTATTTTCTATTTTTGTGAGCGAGGGATGTGGTTTGATTTGTCAGTCATTGAATTAGATATCTGACTGACATGCCGCCATACTTCAACTAATTGCTCGGCCATTTTGTTGACCAAAATAAAGCTATGGTTACTAGGACGACGCTACTTTAGGCAAAAAGCGCGGATTCAAATCRGTTAGTGGAAGTAAAGAAATCTTTAAAACAATATAAACAATTTTATTTGAAAAGGACGCGCATGTGTTCACTCGGGCATCCAGGACTTCCGTTAGAAATTTCTCTGCAAGAATGCGCGACTCTTTAATGGTTTATACCATGTAATGTCGGTTCTATGGAAGTGCATTCACWTTGATATATGCAAAAATATACTTAAATTGTAGCTTGACTGAGTGACACCATCACAGGCGTCTGATTTCCCTGGAGGGTCCAACGCTTTTACTGTATATTAATGTGAATTTCCCATCATTATGCTGGTAGCGTCACTTTTTTATTAATCTATTTCCATATAATATGCTTCAATGCGGCTGGCTAATAAAGACGTTAGTCCTTTACAAAGCTTCCCGCGAATTCAGTTAGAGTGAGAGTATATCAAGATAGCGATCTTAAAACTAAATTGATCCATAAATCCATAAGATACTCTGCGCCTCTGGAGGCAAAATAGGATGCAAAGAGAGTACAGAAAAAGGAAGGAAAGCAATCAAACTGATAACAAAAAAGGCGTWAGGATAAAAGAAGAAAGACCACAAGGGCTAAAAATATCATTAAAAACAAAGAAGGGAAATTGTCAGAAAACTATTAAAAAAAAACAATAACTTTCTTTCTCCCCCAAAACCAAAGCCACTTCGGGTTGGTATTACCAATATACCCCTAACCTAACCACTACCCCTTCCCWAAGACAAGACAAAGAAAACCGCTCTATAAATATTTGAATTCGGTGTTATTTCAATRGCTTCAATTACCTGAACAAGCCATGAATAATGGCCGTCACAATACCTGGAACCAAAATAACGCTCAAAGAAGCTAGCGTGACGCCTGATAATAGATTTAGAGAAGAAGGCTTTATAATGATCAGATGCTGTTTTCTGATTGCATATTTTCAAAAACATCATAATGAACAAAACAAACGAATTCACAAATTAGATTTTGCTATTTTTGATTTTACTAATATCATATCAAACAGGGAGGTGGGAGGGATAGGGAAGTTAGTCTGACTCCCTGAAAGAGAAACAACAGCTAGTCCCGCCGCCATGTTGGATAGTTGGATGGATCCGAAACAAGAGCCTCTTTCCCGTGATGTTTCAGTATTCAACATGGTGAATGACGTAACGTGACGTAAAGATTTACAATGATAACACTTATAGTTATTTATATGCTTTTAACCCTTCAACATTTGATTATATCGGTACAGTAAATTGAGAGATTGTTACAAAATAGCCGATTAGGTGATTACGATTTCGAAACTTGACGCTTTCCGTTTTGACTATTTTTATTGACACTCCTACCATTCTACAATAATAACAAACAAATAACAAAMCATTGCAAACTAAATTACAAAAACGTGATCACGGAAGACAACACAATAATTTYGAATTAGAGTTTTTGCTTTACSTTGCTTGCAGTTTCTGTTTGTGACGATCATTCAAATRAACCAAGATCTGAAGATCTAATCACTAGTTTATCAGAAATTCCCAATATTTACTTTTATTAATGATRTCTTAATTATTATTACTGTACTGCAGTATGTACGCTGATTGGTTGAGAAGTGAATCAGAAAGGGATTGGTGTGAAGTTACATGGGGTAAGAACACCACGTGTTACCACGCCCACTTGGGAGGACTGGGACCTGAATCACGCAAGATCAARAATCAGTGATATTAGAAAAGGGATCGATCGGTATCTGTAGTCACATAATGTGATCAGCTACGATCAGAGGATCAGCTTGCCAGTTGCCAGGGTTTTTAAGAGACTGAAGGATCATTGATTTCAAAAACAACGGAAGAGCAAAACCCAGGATACACGAGAGCTCTCAACGACGTCGGATTTTTCAAGAGTAGTTCAAATAGAATACTAGAATAGCRCCGTAATGATTGTCATATGTCGCCATATGTTTGCACAGCAATCYCACATACTCGTCAGTCTCGATTCCATCTTGGCTGCTTCTTTGGTTTCGTATTAGTCAGTCYCAGTTCTTAAATTATGATCGATGCTCAACAAACCCACTGATCTTACCGATTATAAAATAAGGAAAAAGAATTGAATGAATTGAAACAGTTGTTATAGAGCAAACCCAGGAAAACCATGAAATAAAATCAAACTAAATACTAACTAAAAGCGGCTATTTAGAGACAATTTGTCAGTATCAATGAACCAGAATACAATGAAGATGAATCCACATGGGACCATTTTTCATTCATCTTTATTGCGTTCTGGTTCATTGATACTGACAATTTGTCTCTAAATATAGCCGCTATTTGTTAGTATTAAGTTAGATTTTATTTCATGGTTTTCCTGCGTTTGCTCTAATAGAAAAAAAAAAATTAAACGGTGAACTTTGGTCTGTTGGTAGGACTATATGTGAAAATCTTAAAAAATAAAAGATATGAAACTTATTCTAAAATATCACCCTATCACCAGAAGTTAGCGTTTTAGAAGTAAAAGTCCTTCAACCCGTCTCTACGGAGGTTTTTGTTCACATAGGTCCCGTTCGTCGCTCCCGGCCGGCTAGAGCGGATTTCGTAGTGTTCGACGGCACGGATCACAGCACGAAAGTAGCGTGTTTTTCCGCTAGTAGCGCAGCGTTGACTCCTAAGAGTGAATGTTATAATTACAGCTCTCGACGTCTTATAGCGAATCGAAAAATCCGAGCGATATTAGAGAATAATAGTAAGAGAAGGGTAAGAATTGCTATAGAAATGGTTTAACTTTTTTCATAACTCGGAATTTTTCTTTGAGATCGAAGCGGCTCCTCGCGCGCGCCCTACCCAAGCGACTTCCTATTGGTCAAAAAGAAACCTAAAACTAGGTATATACGTCTCTGAACGCTATAACCAAACCTAATGCACATCATGGACGCTCCTGTTTGGAGGGATTAACATTGTGAACATGCTAGATCTCATTTTTTCTTAATTCATGACTCATTTCACATTGTTCGGAACTTGATCAAAGTAAAATGACTATATATAAAACTATTATGATCATTTCTCAGATTGCTGATGGTACTTATATAGGCAATCATCAAAAAGCAATTAAACAAACGTCGATTATAGTTTTTCCTGGYCAAGCAACCCTAATCCGATTAAAATCTGATTACTGTGATCACTGGCTCTAATGTATTATAAAATAGTAAATGTTTACCATAAAACTACGAGCCAATTTTCCCACAACAGATCGATGTTGTCGTTATTATTGAATATTTATTTATTGTTGTTACATGTATAATGAAATTAATTTGAGCTATTTTGTTTGTACCTTGAGAGAGAGAACAGCGTCTACTATAGTGTGATTGTACGATGATGATGATTATATGATGTTGCTACTAACAAGCCGCTGAACACTTCGATGTGTATAAAATTAGGATCGTTAGGGCCGGGCTAATCAAATCTCGATTATCGGTAATTCTAGGGTAACTATTAAGAAAACTATCATTTACCCCACTTTAACACTAATGGGGRTTTGAACAGACAGGGTCCTGATTGAAACCGCGTCGCTCCAACCCCCAGGCAGTGAGGCAGAACAAACCAACATTTCAACAACACTTGTTTAAAGTCCTCTAAGAGACAAAAAAGTGGCTCAAAAGTTTCTTTAATTTAGAAGTTAATTCTCCCGCCCCGCAGTGTGGACGGATGCTATTAAAGATTGTAGAATCCCCGGTGACAAAGCGTTAATTTACCCGGCAGTCCTTCCCGGAGGTTTGAAGRATGGAATATATAAAATAAACTTGTTACTGTCCGTGAAAGCTTCCACGCTATCGAATGTCTCGCCGTTAAAGTAATTTATTTCTGATTTCGAAGCTTTAATCATCACATTATTCACCATGACGATTATTCGTTCTAGAATATTTGATTTCACTAGACAGGTTCAACAAATAGTACWTYATGACTGTAAGCCCTACCCCCCTCRGGATAAATAATCYTCCTTTCCAACACAATATCGATTTATTAGTATCATACATTATAAGGTTTGTTATAGCAGTGTTTTGATTTTATAGTTTTATGCTAACGTTACAGACTCAACAKTTTGAGGAGGCTAATTTCCGWCCGCTCTACCTCCCCCAGGGGTTKCAATGTCACGTAACCATGATCACCAAGAGAAGGCGAATGCATGCAGACAAGATTTGAATACACAGGGGAGTTAAGATGACTTGTTTTATTGTAGAGCAGTTGTGCTCAGCTCAAGACAAGAATCCTTGCTTTTCCCAGGCTCATGCGTAGAACAACTGCTCAAAAAACTACTGAASTGTAAAAGAAACTAGTCAATGTCAGCCTCGCTCCATGTCCTCTTAGAGCAGTGCTTAAACAGTTATAAAGCTASYCTTTTCATGGGTTTAGACTTTATTTGACTCGAAATGAGTGAAGTTTTACAGCCAGAAGACACTTTAAAGGAGCGAGCAACAGAACTTTTTAGCCTTTGCGATCAGAATAGGAATGGATTTATAACACAAGGTGATCTCGTWCAAGTCATTACACAACTCGGTTTACCATTGGAACAAAAACAAGTTGAACAAGCGTTTACCAAACTCGACAACGATCACAACGGCTATTTRACYCTTGATGAGTTTATTGAGGGTTTTGGACTTTTCCTTGGAATAGATGTAAATGATTTAAATGAGAATGATAATGAATTGGAAGAAATTGCCAACACTGACCCTGGTAGGGAACTGTTTTACTTGTGTGACACTGATCGCAAAGGATACATTACTAAGACTGATCTTCAACGAGTTTCTTACGATTTGAATTTAAATTTTGACCAGCTGGATTTAATATTCGATAAGCTTGATCAGGATGGAAATGGTCGTTTGACTTTGGACGAGTTTGCGGAAGGTTTTGGGGCATTTTTACGCGGAGGTGACGAACCTGAGGACTCACATATTGTACAGGATGCYGGTGGAATCGAAGTTGAAGCTTTTGATCAGCCTCGTGATGTTTTCGAAAGTGCTTCTGCTGAGGATACAAGTTCAATTTCGAAGGAAGATGCAGTATTCAGGGAGGTCGTTGAAAGTATTGGGGAGGACGTCTTGTCAGGGTAATAATTTATCGAGTGTTCTTTTGCTTTCGTTTAGTTGATCACCACAAATCACTGTTCAATCATCACAGCTTTCATCAACAGGATTTCAATTGGCACACAAAAAGTTCACCACATCTTGCACGCATGTTGACACCGCCAACACTCAACAACCTGGTGTAGAATGTCGAGTTTCTATCTCAAGATAAATCATTGTAGTTATTGTTTTTACCGGAAACTGATGTTCCTTTCGCTCTAACACTAATCGGTCATAACAATTGCAAAATACTATTAATTGCAGTTCCCTTGGTTAAGACATACACACCTGCCTACCCTTAAGGCCAGACCATTATTTCGGAAATCAAAATAGTACTAAAGAGATCATTTTTCTACAATATCAAAATTTAATTCATTGGTGAATATTTCTTTTGATTAAGAAATTCAGCTGGCCGTCGCTTTGTTGATATACTCGTAGTATTTGAATTACACACAGTTAAATTCTGATTGGTGTTATTAATTCCGACGGCGTTATTTTCTTTGTCTTCTACATGTTATCCTCTTAAAAATAACAATCTTATAAKAAGTTTTTTTTCAGCTGTTTAATAGATGTATGTAAGCGGGTTCAAAACTGTAAAATTTTATTATTTCATTCCTAAAAATAGTTCACATACTTTAAGCACACGCGATAATTTTCACGCAATGTTTCGTGCGATTTGAAATTTCTAGAATTTTATTTTATTCGAATATTTCCCCATCGAACCGGCCAATTTAACTAAGCTTTCTTCTGTAAATTACACGTCGACAAATGTAAACAAAGAATTCATATTAAAAACATTGATCAACGATCGTTTTTTCTTAAAATTCAGAAAATTGCACTTGAATGGTTTTCCGATCGATACTTCTATTAGCGTGTTCGTTTCATAGCACTTAACTGGTTTTCCAATAACACTAAATAGGCTTCCAACCTTGTTTTTGTAAACATTGAATAAATGCAAACGTTTCTACGCTAAATTAATTAATATTCTTCCCCTGATCAGGGCGCTCACAAAAGATCAGCTTCGAGAACTTTGGATTTCTCTCCAGAACAATGATTCGAGGGCAATCAATAAGTTCGAGGACTTTTTAGCGAAAGTTTCCACCGAAATCAAGCGAGCAAGGAATGACTCCATACAACTTGAGAATGCATTAAAAAGGTAAGCGATGAAAGGAGTGTAAACACAAGTTATGTTAACATGATTTGCAATTCAAATATTCAACTGTAATGTTTGTTTTTTTTGGACAATGATTAATTAGCAGTATTTGCAGCGTCCCAGTGTGTCTAATAATAGGCTTTCTTTGGYTATTATGCTCGGATCATTCTAGATCAAGGGAGCATGACAAGATTTCTAACATTTTATCTGTTAATAGTATGGATTAAAATGATTTTTTTTTTCGGAACGGAGGTGGGTTTAGGGGAGGGGTGGTGGGTTTGGATGGTGGTAGGGGAGGGGTGGTGGGTTTGGATGGTGGTAGGGGAGGGGTGGTAAGTTTCTATAGGCGGCGGTGCTGTGTCTGATTAACAGGGGAGGGGGAACATTTTGCCATCATCCATCCTTGTTCATTTTAAGATAAATAAAATATATAAAAAATAAAATACCAATTTTACTTTTTCTCGTCCATGCAGGTGCCATAAATTTGATCTTTTTTTGTTCCTTCTTGTCAATATTTAGTAAAATGAAYTCCCATGACCGAGAAGTCCAAAAACTTTACGAGGAAATGGAGCAACAGATCAAAGCTGTCAGAGACCGCTACGAAACGGAGGTACTTCAGTCCGACTTAATACACTGATTAAGAACCAATTGTTTCCGCAGGCTCGACTTCTTCCTCCTCCCTTTGTTTACACACAGGAATACCAGACGCAAGGGAAAGCCTTATAGAACGGGTTGCCTATATAGAGAGTTGTCAGAGTTACACTACACTTTCTTCCCAGATTGACAATAGTGTTAGCTCGCTCTTTTTCATACTGTATACTTTATAGATTAATTATATGAAATTTCCAGAATTTCTTGTTAATAAGATCTATCTATCCATTGCTCATTACAAAATTATTGRCAATTATTGTTCTTTGCAGCAAGAAAAACGAGAAAGAGCGATTAAAGGAGAGTTGATGAGTGAATTAGAACGAAAAGAAATGGAAATACAATGGATGCTCAATAAACAGAAAAAGGTAAACAACAGCAACAACAACAACAGCAACAACAACAGCAACTATACTGAACTAAAACAACAGCAACAACGACAACAACAACATCAACAATGATAATAACAACACCGCCAACAACAACAACACCGATAACAGCAACAACAATAACAACAACAACAACAACAGCAACTATACTGAACTAAAACAACAGCAACAACGACAACAACAACATCAACAATGATAATAACAACACCGCCAACAACAACAACACCGATAACAGCAACAACAATAACAACAACAACAACAACAGCAACTATACTGAACTAAAACAACAGCAACAACGACAACAACAACATCAACAATGATAATAACA